AATATAATCGTCAGTATATTACTGAAGAATATACCTATATTCGGCAGTCAGATGGCTGTCGAATATGTTTAGCCTATTTTAGCATACATAATCGATAGTGGAATTGCTGTCGATTATACGAATAATCGACAGACATATCTGTCGATTATACATTATAACCGACAGCAATAATTTCTGACGAATATATGAATTTTCGACTCTCATTTTTCCGGTCGAAATTACTGTCGCTTATGTCTGTCGATTATATCGTTATAATAGTCAGTATTGACTGTCGAAAAAACTACGTTTTCTAGTAGTGCGTCATTGCCTAGCTCTCTTGGCTTGGCTGGAACATTTATATTTTTAGATTTCGTTGGAAGGTTCATTGTTGGGTATTATCGTTGGACTAAACAAGATGGTCCAAAACATGTAGCTTTTCACACATGAAGCGGGTGCCATCAAAAGAACCCTCCTAACTTCTTTTACAGGTGGCATCCTAATCAGCCTTCACATTACCACTACTGTTTACTCATCATCCTTCATTATCAATGCACCCCAACAATAAGATATTGTAAAAAGGTATATATGGTATTGTAAACTGACACACGGCTTTAGAGTGGTATTTATAATTAAAAATCCCTCATATACTTGTTACGAAAACATCAAAGTAAATCAAAAAAATGGCACATGGCTTTATCTTCATGTCGAAATGTCAACTTTAAATTAACAATTTTTGTTGAATGACTCTGATGTTGCCATTTTGAGGAATAATAATAATAATAATAACAATAATAATAATAATAATAATAAAAAAAACATTAAGAATGAACCCAAGAACAAGAAGGAAAATTTCTTGAGGACAATCCTGACATTATCCAGTAAAAATTGGTGGGATAAAGTGTCTAATTGATTGATAATTGTTATTATTAATAGTAATTAAAATATTATATTTATTAGGTTAGACAAAATTATTAGTATAGTTTTAAATTACTCTTATTTTGATTTAATTATCTTATTTTAACTTTTATATAAAATTTAATTAAATAATTTTATATAATAAAAAGATGATAATTAAAATTTTTTTTACTTATATACATACTTCTTATTAAGTATTTTCACTTAAATCAATTTTTTAATTATCATTCATTTATAATATAAAACTATATGATATAAAAAAAACCCTTCCATGGTAGCAGGTTGTTTTGTGATAGTGTAATAGCTGGGTTTTAGAAGGTTTTACCGGTTGTTTCTAATGTTTGGACTAGTTTGTGGCGTAGTAGAAGTACATATTGTAGCATATGAAAATATTAAACTGCTAAGTTTATGTTTTTATGAGGTAGAGGATCCCACGTAAGTACGTTACCTTCTTTAATGGTATTTGTTCAATGATCATTTCCATAAAACCAAAAAAAGGAAAAAAACAAAAAAAAACAAAAAACACACCTTGGTAAATTAAAAAAAGGCGTGGGGAAATTGAAAGTGAGTTGTACCGAGCCGAACCGACAGTCTAGGTTTATTCCAGCTATATTTGCAGCCTCAGCACTCATGCCATGCCATGCCCAATGATGTCTTCTTTGTCAATATCGCTCCCTGTTAATGATTATATTACAGTATATATTTGTCAACCATCTCCCAAGGAGTAAGAGAACATTCTTTTCTGTTGTTATTGAAAGAAGAATGAGAGGATGATTCCTATTCAACCACTGGTCTTTTTGTTTTTGGGTGGAGGGAAGAGTATTTTAGACTAAAAGAGTCGAAATTATTGAAGAATCATTGACCTACCAT